CACCCATTTGTTAAGGGATGCACTCATTTATTCACTTGCACATTTACAAAGCACTTATTCAGCAAAGCCCTTCTAGGTAGACAAAGAGGTCCAAGCCTTGGTCCTTTTCCAAGAACCAGGTCGAAATAATCCCACTGATTCTAGGCACTAAGTCCCTTCACTCTCATTCCTTCTTCCAGTCTTTTCCATCTCCCTCTTTTTGTTCATCTTGAGCTCCACTGAGCTTCTTTGGGGACTGAGGGACCAGACTACGCCTGGCACTGTGTGTGGGCTCCTCACACTTTTGTGAATATCAGGAGGCTGGGAGTAGGAATTCTGTTCTCAGCACTTTCCTGCTGAATGGTAAACAGATTGAGTTCATTTCATGGACAAAGTCAATTCAGAGCCAGCAGACCAAATAACAGAAATCATTCCAGGCAGAGGCCTGGTAACTGAAATTCCAGCAGGAAGCTAACTTTTCTTGTAGGATCTGCAATTATAGAAAACAACAGAAAGCGGCCAACCATTCCATTATTTAAAATTTCCTCCAGAAAACACTTATTGAGTACCTAATATGTGCAAAGAACCAACCTGGGGACTGTGAGAATGATTCAGACAAGTTTCTTGCCCCAAGAAGCTTACACTCTGGTAGTGGGGAAGGTGGATACCACCTTCGCTGATGATCTGATTCCAAGCATGACTCGTGAGTCCTGAGAACGTACACCTTAAAAGAATTTAGGAATTCAGATGGGAGAAGTCACTTCTCTCTGGGGCTTGGAGAAGAAGCCTTCCTGAATATGGAAACAGCCGAGTGAGGTCTAAGAATGTGGATGGAATTCTAACTAGTACACAAGGAAGAAGGGGTGCAGGGAAGAGTATTATAGAGTTAAAAGGATGGGCAAAGATATATAGATGGGTAATGCTCAAGGCATAGATGCCTTTATAAATTAGTATTCCCCTTTTATAGATAAAGAAACTGGCATTTGCAAGGTGAAATGATGTGCCACAGGTCCCTTGAACCCAGGACATAGATGGGTAATGCTCAAGGCATAGATGCCTTTATAAATTAGTATTCCCCTTTTAGATAAAGAAACTGGCATTTGCAAGGTGAAATGATGTGCCACAGGTCCCTTGAACCCAGGACTGTGTGATGGCAGGGCTGCTGCTTCTCTATGCCTCTCTGCCCCCAATCAATAAAGCCCAAACCCAGCCTCATAAGGGACACTCTGCTTCTCTAAGTTCTCTGAGGTGCTCACTGATCCAGGAGTCAGGAGACCAGTTCCCAACTTGCCATGTGGCCTTGGAAAAGCATCTAATGGCTATGGGATTTAGTTTGCTCATAGTCAGTGAACATTCTGGAGAGCTGAAACTCAGCCCTTTCTGAAAGTTCTGAATGCATTCACTTGATCATAGAGGATTTATAACCCGGCCACCCCTGCAATGTGGGATTATCTGCTTATAAACAAATCTCTGTTGAGATAGCCTTGGTTTAGTGATGTTTTCCCTAAATTCTCTTGTGCAACTCCTCCCTCCCCACGAACTAGCAGTTGCACCTGCATGGTCCTCCTCTGGTTATTCTTGACACCCTAACCCATCTCACTCATCCATTCAAGCCCAAGAGCAGTATCCTTGATATGATAAGTACATGCAAAACTGCATGTGACTGGGATGCAGAGGCTGAATCCCCAAAGCAGGGCTTTTCCACTTCTTAATTAAACACACACAAAGACCCCAAATAGAGAGAAGGACAGAAAGTGAACTTGAATGTTTTTATTCAGTGGCACAGCTCTTAAATTACTTTAGATTTCTGCTACCTTCAGGGAGCTCTCCCTGAGCACCCAGGTTGGACTAGGTGCATTCCTCTCATAGCACTAATCACGCACAATTTTTGCCTACTTAAAAAAAAATATGCATGTGCTTTCAAGTTGTATTTTTGAAGCATTCAGGGTTTTAGCTGAGCAGACTACGATGTTTTCAGGACCAGCCTCAGAGCAGAGGTCAGCAGAGGCTGTAGCAAGGGACCAGCATCTGTGTGCCCAGGATTTTGGTCCTAGTTACCTGGACAAGGCTGGAAGAGGGTTCCAAAAATGAACTGTTAAGACTCTCGGAGGTACTGCCTATTTCCAGGATTGCCATATTCTGGGCATTTTGGAAGTCCACAACAATAGAGACCTCAAATGAATAGTACCTAAAATTTGCTGACCACTTATTATGTTGCAGAGTCTGTGCTAAGTGTCTGACTTGCATTACTGCTGAAATCCACACAACACAGCAGTTATTTTAAGATGGTAACTACTACTGTCCCTGTTTTATAGTTGAGGAAAACAAGGCTTAGTCATATAGCTAGTAAATGGGAGAGCCTGGATTTGAACTCAGTGGGGAGACTGATTCCTGAATTGAAAATCCCAACCACTTTCTTCTGACTGCTTCTAATTAGATCTGAGCCTGATGTTTCAGAGATCATAGCAGCAGCTCTGGTGAGAGCATCAACCATAAAAATCTTAGAATTTGAGAACCAAATGGAAGCTAAAGAAATGTTTAATGTAACTTTCTCCTTTTACAAAAGAGAAACTGAGGCCCTGAGGGGGAAAGCGACCTGGCCAAGATGTGATCCCTGACTTCTAGCCTCCCCAGCCAGGGCTCTGTCCATGTTTCCAAGCTGCCTCCCTTGGAAGTGTCTTCTGATTAGCATCCCACTGAGCAAGACAGTGAGATAAGATGCTGCTGGGGGTTGAGGGGTGCAAATGCCTGGGGGAATGTATGCAGCTGGACTCCTCCAGACAATTCAAGCCAGTGTCGTGGGGCTCTGTGCAAGAGGGGCTAAACACTCAGGGCTTGAGCACTTGGGGGCCCATTCAATGGCCCTGGACCTGCTATGAGCCTCAAACAAACACTGTTGCAAGGGATAAATGAGAGTGTGCAGATAAAACACCTTCCGCTGGACAGGCACACAGTAGGGGCACACTGAATGCTGGTACCATGTCTTTTCTTTCTTAGGATCCTGGAAGAGAAAAGCAAAGAGCTTTGGCCTCTGAGAATCCTGCAGGAATTTATCCAGGGTGACCTGGAGTTTTAGGTAGGAGAAGGGAATAGTAGACAGTAATGTCTGAGCTCTTACTCTTTTCCCAGCCCTGTGCAAGGAGCTCCATATCCATTATTCTTTTGACTCTCACATCCTTACAACAACCTACTCTGGGTCGCTGGTGGATGCAGCCAACACAGTACAGGAGGCAGGGTCCTTCCTGTCTCCACCTCCTATACATCAAGTTTCTCTCCTGGTGGTCATACACTCACCCATTTTACAGATAAGAAAACTAAGGCTTAGAGAGGTGAGGGGACTGGCCTAAGGTCACAGAGGGAGTGACAGAGCTGAAATTCACACTCAGACTCCATTGGACTCTACAGCCTGAGATCTTTTTATGACACCTAATTGCCTCCCAGGAAGACTACAAGCATTGAAAATATTTTAAACCAAACCCTTGAGTTTCCCAGAGACCCTTAGCCTCTAGGACCTCACGGTCGTCAGACAAATCACGGGGGGAGGAGATCTGGATTTGGTGCAGAATATTGTCCCCAGTCAAGCAGTGTCCCTGGATCTGTGATAGGTGAGGATCTGAATGTCAAGGCACTGAGACAATGCTTACAGACCTGTCCTGCTCAGGTGGGTAAAAGGGCAACCAGTCCCTTCCCACTCAGTAGAATGTGTAACTCAGCTGGGCCAAATGGGCAGAAGCCTCCTCCCGTGTTCTAGGCTGTACATGCCAACCTGGCTTCATCTCCTAGGATTTGCACCCAGAGATCTCTTTCCTTGGTGCTTATCCAGTCTAATGTCTCTGGAAGCTGGGCCAGAAGTGGGCCCCTTCTTCCTGGAGCCTTCAAGGACAGCTTACTCACGGGAAGTGCTGTGGTCCCAACCAAGGTAAGACCAACCAACTCCTAAGAGTAGGCTCACTGGAGTCCACCATTCCCTACTACAGTTCTAATCACTAGTCCATGTAAGGGATGAGAGCTGGACTCCCACCTGTAACCAGAATCTGGGCTCCAATGGCAGAACTTGGACGTTTAAGTGTCAGGTTACTTAAAATCCTTCTACTACTCACAAGGGCACTTGAGCATTAAACAAATCAAAACCTATCATTTTTCCTGCTTCCAGTCTCTTTATCCTAACAACCAACTTTCTAACTGCTGGTTAGGTGGCCTGTATCGTCCCCATGGCCCAACGCCTGTCTGCCCCAACTTCACATGGGCGCATTTGACAACTCTCCCACTGGTGAGATCCAGCACATCTCAGATGGGAAAGGCAGCTATAGAAGAGGGCTCAGGATAATATGCTTTATTAACCCTTGATGTAAACTCACATCTCAGCCACCCCTCAATGGTGCCCTCAACTCCCCAGAGGTTTCCAGAGTGTGGCAGCATGCTTGTGTGATGCGCTGGCTCCTGCTGACTCCCCGAGCCACCAGGACATGAGCCCTGGGAGTTTGACCTGGCAGCAGCTGATTCCTTTTGGCTTGCAGAGGCTAACTGAGGTAGGCAGGCGGAGCACTCTCTCCCTGCTGATGGGGCTCCCAGGTCTGCACCTAGCATCGTCACCGCCTGGGAGGAGTGTGTGACTGTGTGTGCACCCTTACAGGGTGCTCACAGTTGCACACACGCCAGCCGTCATGGGATTGGGAAGAGCTTCCCAACATTTCCAACCCAGAGAATCCAGTCACCCCCACCTGTGAATTTGCCTCTTTCTTCTGCTCCTAGAGATTTTCCCAGGAGGAGGGTCCTGGCACCTGGTGTGTGTCCCAGAGGGATCCAGTCACCCCTGGGACCAGCGGTCACCCTGGCTCCCTCCTCTGGGTGTTCACACCAACCCTCCCACCGGTTCCTGGATCCTTCGGATACAAGAACCTGTCCCCGCTCCTCGTGGAGAGGGGCGTTTGTACTAAGCGAGGCAGGTGGCACACCCCAGCTCAGCACCCAGCACCCCCAAACCCAGCCAGGGGAACAAAAGGAAGGAGGTGGTGGCTTACCTTTGGAGGGTCGCCTTTGTTTGGTTTGCAGAGATGAGAAGGTGCCCATGACGGCCCCCATGGCAGCGAAGACTTGTCTGCGACTTGGGACCCCGAGCCCTGCCCCTCCCCTCCTCTGGAAAGAAATCAGTGTAGACTGTCTACTCCGAATTGGAGGACGGAAAAAGCCCCCGGCAGCTCGCCTGCAGCTCGGTATGCAGCGAGCGTGGGGCTGGGGCGCGGGGAGGCTTCTCGCTTCCGTCTTCAGCCCCGCACATGCACTGACTCACAGGGCCAGCCGCTCCCGGCGAGCCTTCGGAACCGCTCCCCCGCGCGAGGACCCGGCCCGGACGGTTCCCTCGCCAAGGGCCGAGGACGATGCTCCGAAGCCTGCCTGGCGCTGGCCACGGGGCCGCCGGCGCGCCCGCCCGGCCGAGGCTGCCGAGCCTGGTTCCTTTAGGCCCTTGCTTTCTCTTTTTTCTGTTTCTTACCTTCCTCTCTCCCTCCTTCATCGTTCTCCCTTTCTTCCCTCACTGGCACAGAATTTATTAGCCATCAGCTACGGGGCAGAGTTTGACTTAGTGCTTGAGACATAATGATTGCATATAGGAAGCAATCTCCCTTCTGTGAGCTCTCACTCCAGGTCACAAAGACCTGCACCCCCCATTGTGGCTTCTCACTGAAAGGGCAAAGTTTGGGTCCACCTCTGTGGACTTAGCTCCTGTGGCGCTCAAATACAAGGTTTGCTTCCTGGAAGGCTGAGGTGGAGCTTTTCCTCCCCCAAGTCTGAACTGCCTGGATTCCCACTGGGACCCTTTTTGATTGGCACTGAGAATCCTTTGCCCAGGCTGCTCCCGGACCCCTACCCAGTCATTTCTTCTCTGTCACATAGATACACACGATGTTTGTGGTTCACAGAGTCCCCCAACATATGGCCTCATAAACATGCATGCACACATAGTCCCACATACATATGGCACAGGTCCCTCAAGACCAAACAGACAAGATATTGCTGTCATACACATAGACAGACCCAAAGCCCATAATGCACCCACAAGTGCATCCATAAGACCCTGCACAAGGTGCAGAGACACACAAACACACAAGCATGCAGATGCACACGCAATGCATATGACATGGCAGTCACTCACATGCACACGGGCATACAATCATACCCCAAGGATATAGGGCCCCTCAGGAGTTGCTTCCCCTCTTTCCAGCCCATTAGCTGCCTCTTCAGGGTCTCAGGTGGCCTGCAACTTGTCTAGGGACTCTGAATAGTTTTCTACACCTATTCAGCACTCAATTCTTTTTCAAATCCCAGCATGTGTCCTACTTTGTGCAACAGGGAAGGTGCGCTTACTAACAAACGTTTTCATTTGCATTGCCCACTGCTGTGTAACCATGTCACCCCACGAGATGTCCACCAAAGCCCTGTGAGTTAGGAAGGTCGTGCCTGATCATCACCGTAGAGAGAAATTGAGGCTTAGCTAGGGTAAGAAATTTGCCTGAAGTTGCCCAACCAGGATGTGGGATTAGAACTCAGAGTCTAAGGCTCTGTCACCACCTCCTGGGGACCCTCCTGTTGGTAGATGAGGGCACTGCGGGCCACTGAGCTGGAAGGACCTGCTCTGGGTACCCCCTGATTCAAAAGTCCAGCTCTCCTAATTGCCAATTCAGGGCTTGCCTATGCCCAGGAGTACTGGAGTCCTGGATGATAGAACAGGATGCAGGGGCTGGCCCCTGCCCCTCCCGCCATCCCTGCTGGGTAAGCGGGGTGGGGTGGGGCTGAAGCCCGAGGTCACCAGAGGACCCACTAGTACAGCCAGGACTCAAGGAACGGAGGAGGGCTTTTCGCTGAAGATAGGGTGATACTGCCTCCTGCCTCCCATGCCACCGTGTCTTTGCCAACTTCTCAGGGACATCAACAGAGGAACCCCAAGCCACTTCACCCTCAGGACTCTGCGGATCTCCATACTACCATGGCCAGGACATGTGCTTGAGAGGTGACAAAATGACCATGGCCAGGACAGTGCTTGAGAGGTGACAAAAGGCTAGGCTCCATTCTCTCATTTTCCCCTCCCCACAACCCTCTGAAGAAGCAGAGTACAGATGAATTGCTCCATTTTACAGATCAGAAGTAGCAAAGTACCTCCAAGCAGTGGGAATAAAGTGAAGACACCAAGATAAAGTCCAAACTGCTGCATATGAATATTACGACTTCTTGTGGCTTGGCTTCTTCTACCAGCTCCTTGCCCCCCGTGCTCCCTTTGGGCCTCCAGCCACACAGATCCCTCACTATTCTCCAAATATGCTCTCCCTGGTGCTGCTTCAGGGCCTTTGCACATGCTGTTCCCTCTGCCTAGAATGCCCCTTGCCCCTTTCTCCATCTGGAAACTGGCTGCTCATCCTTGAAAATCTACTTCAGGTGCCATGTCCTCCAGGAATCCTCCCCTGGCCCCAAGTTGGTGGCCCACTTTGCCCCTTTCTCCATCTGGAAACTGGCTGCTCATCCTTGAAGATCTACTTCAGGTGCCATGTCCTCCAGGAATCCTCCCCTGGCCCCAAGTTGGTGGCCCACTTGGGATTCTCATAGCACTCGGGGCTTCTTTACCCATCAGCACACTCCCTACTTTGCTTCTCATCGTCCCTTTTCTTGCTTGTGTCTCCCACTGGACTGTAAGTTCTTCAAAGGCAGATACCAGTACTGATTTAACTCTGCACTTTCTGCTTAATCCCTGGTTTCTGATGGGGTGCAGTCAATCTATGCTAAATGAATGAGTGAGCTAATTTTCTTCGCTCAGTGACTTACGAACTAAGTAAAAACCGACAATTACCAGATCATCCTTGCCCCTTAAAGGACAAAGCGCACTATCCCAAGTGAAGGTTCATTCATTCATCCATTCATTCAAGAAATATTAATTCATTCATGTATCTACCATGTACCTGATATTTACATGCACAATAGCTCATTTATTCCTGATGACACCTTATGAGGTAGGTATTATCTGCAGATAAAGAGACAGTCACACACACACGTGTGCACACACGCACTATACAATGCAGCAGACATCACCTGTGAGATGCTCACAAAGAATATATGGTAAATGTGAGGGATGAGAGACAAAGGAGATAATAGCAGACCCACTTCCTGCCTCTTGGAACTTGCAGTAGAGAGCAGAGAACTGCATGCGGAGAGAGGGAGCAATGGAGCAGATGTGCCGAGGGAGTGTCAGGGAGCCTCCCCTCAGTCACCCTGGCTGTAGGAGACATTTGTCCTCTTGTTCCCCACATGGTGTACTTGGTAAGGTGACCTTGCCAGCCCCGTCCAACCTGAGCTTCAATGGTTGTGGTCGCCCCCTTTACTCTGAAAGGTAAGCTAGCTCATGTACCATCTCCAGTTCTGGTCCCTCCATCATCCTACCTGAATGTTTGAGTCCCCACAAAAAATTCATATGTTGAAGCCCTAACCCTCAATGTGGCTGTATTTGGAAATAGGACCTCTAAGAAAATAATTAAGGTTAAATGAGGTCATGAGGGTGGGGCCCTGATCTGATAGGGCCTTTTAAGAAGAGACACTAGAAACACCTCTCTCCCCTGCACCCACAAAGGAGAGGTCGTGTGAGCACACCAGGAGAAGGTGGCTGTCTGCAACCCAAGGGGAGAGGCCTCACTACATCCCAACCCTGCTGGCACCTTGATCTTGGACTTCTAGTTTCCGGAATGGTGAGGAAGAAATTCCTATTGTTTAAGCCATGCAGAATGTAGTATTTTGTTAAGCATCCCAAGCAGACTAATACACACTCCCAGTGCCAGTCCTTGCCCTCAGAAGGCTCTGGAAGCGAGGCCCTCACTCTGACATGAGCATGGATGTAGGACTCCTTAGAGCACTCCTCTGAGGCTTGTCACAGAGGAAGGGGTGAGGTTGTCAGAGAACTGCAGGGATGCTATCAAAATGTGCATGTGCTTGTCTGAGTTGTAACATGCAAGCCCTGTTCTTTCTCTCCCTCCCTCCATCCTTTCCTCCTTCCTTCCTCTCTCTTTCTTAATTCATTTCTCCCTCCCTCCTTCTTGCCTCCCCTCCTTCCTCCTTTGCTTCCTTCCTTCCCACTGCTCCCTCAGCCGTGTTTCTTCCAGTCCATGTGGACAATAGCAGATCATTCCCACCACAAACAGAGGTAGCATAGTGTCAGATTAAAAGTATGGATTTTGGGAGCTGCTAGCACTGGGTTCAAATCCTGATTTTGCTCCTTTGCTGTGTGACTTAGGGCATGATGAGTACTTTTTCTGAACCCTACTTTTATCTTCTTCTGGATTACATTTGTACCTACCTCGTAGTGTTGCTGGGAGGGATCAGTATTGGAGATAATGTTTGTAAGGCCCTTAGTAGGTGCCTGGCACACAGAGAGGGCCATTATGGAAGGTGGACCACTACTGTTCCTTTGCTGTGGGCCAGCCATTGTGCTGGGCTAGAGGGGTATAAAAATGAGTAAACCACAGCCCTTCCCCTTGGCTTCCATCTTTACTCTTCATCTGTTTGATAGGAAATCTATTCTCAGGGTCCCCATCTGGTATTAAAAGACTCAGATTAGTTAAGGAAGGGAATGTGGTTGGCACCTGATTATGTGCAATTCAGCACTATGCTTGCTGCTGCTTGTGCCATTTCCCAAATGTTCTGCATGCATAAGTCTGGCCTCCTCAAATAGACTGTGAGCTTTTAGAAAGCAAAGGCCGAATCTTCTCCTGCTTTGCATACACCCCCCACCCCGCGCCCGGCAACCAGCCCAGCCCAGCACATCCTAAGTGTTCCACAAATACTCATACTGAGATCATTCAGGGCAGGGGAAAAGGTGTCACCATTTATCCCTGGATTCAAGTCCCCTTTTCTCTTATAAATGTGTACCTGGGCCTTAGCTACATGAACACGGCCACTTCATGAAGTTGGTGTGAGGACTGGATAAGATAAAGTAAAAGCAAAGTGCTTTGTCTCCCTGTTAAGCACTCTGCAAATGTTCCTTATTGTTATTTGCTCTGGGGCTCACTAGTTATTCATTCATTCATTCAACAAATATTTATTAAGCACCATCTGCCTGCCAGGCACTCTTCTAAGTTATTGTTATTTGCTCTGGGGCTCACTAGTTATTCATTCATTCATTCATTCAACAAATATTTATTAAGCACCATCTGCCTGCCAGGCACTCTTCTAAATACATGGATCAATAACGAACAGGAAGAGGCAAGAGTCCCCACCCTCAG